TGATATCCCTGTGCCCTGCTATTCCAGTGCCTCTCTCACTCCCAACCCACAGCCCCAACTCCCACCCCTGCTGGTACCCCTCAGTCTTGACCCATTCCTCCCAGACCCCAGCCTCCCAGTGTGTGAGGAAGAGGTGTGTGGGGGGGGGGTGGCACAGGTGATTTAGAGGAGAGGTGGGGGGAGGCACATTTCCCCCACCTGAGATTTCTGCACCCACAGCAGGACTGAGGCAGGATGGACCAGCTCTGAGCAGGAGCTGCCTCCATGGCCCAGCAGGCAAACCTGGCATGGGAGGGGGTGCTGTGCTGCCAAGGTGCTCCCTCCCAATAGAGGGAGCTGCTCTTACCAGCCTGCCTAGCTGCCATATGCATGTATGACGTGCATGCATGTGGCATCCCCTGTGTCCTCCCTGCAGCCCCTTGCAGGCTGGAACTCTGCCAGCCTGCAGGGCGAAACCTGCTGTTTCCTGCATTTTTTTTCCTCTAAAGAAGAAAATCCATGTTTTTCCACAGCAAACAGTAATGCTCAGGGATCTGGGTTGTCTATCTGATCTGTGCAGATCAGTCAGAAGGGTTAGCCAGTGCTACTGAGTCTAGGCTGTAGAGAAGTAATTCACCATCCTTGGGTGAAACTTTCAGTCCTTCCTTTCTGCTGAATACAGGCACTTAGTGACAGTAAGGCTTTAGGGGGAGGCAAAATCTGTTTCTTGTAACTAAGTCACAGTGAGTAACTTTATTAAGTGAAGTTTTCCTACTGTTTACTTGGCAGAGCTGGTATAACTGGGGGAAAAAGGATACCAGCTTCTGTTCTCTTGAGTGTCTCAGATTTGGGTGTGGGTGTTTTTTGGGTTTTTTTTAAAGTTTTACGGTACATTTGAGGCTGGTAAAACTATGTTGACAGCCCTGGAGACTGAAGCTTTCCATCTTTAAGTAAAAGAACAAATCTGCATAGCTAGGTAATTCCTGTGCTTTTGCTGCTCAGGCAGAGGTAACTAATAATTTTTGGCATCTAGTCAGATTTTTCTGCCAAGCTTTATCTTCTGTGTCAAATAGGGTCTCTAAGTCTTCAAGCTGCTGCTTAAGCAAACAAAAGCATAGATGTTTTCCCACTTCTCTGTTCCTAAAATCAGTACTTTAAATTCAGGTTTGCCATAAAGAAAAATCCTTTGTCCAGTATGTAGTAGTCAGGATAGTAGGCTGGTTATGCTTACAGTGACTGTAAGGAATGGTCATTGCACTGCACCTGTCCTGTCCCCTCCCACCCCAAGTCAGCTGTGCTGCTGCAGGCAGTAACAAAAGCCAGTGGGTTAGGGGTGCAGGTGCAGTCTGGTGGGGAGGGGGAACTGTTTGGTGCACCATGCTGTTCCACCTCCCCCACCTGACTGACTGTGATTCTGGGACGCTCATTTTAATTTTCACCAACTGGTAAAGCTGGCCTTTGAGATCTGGGCAAACCAGGATGTATTGTCGCTTTAGTTACATTTTTGTCTTGACTATTGATGTAAAAGTTGTGGGGAAGATGTTCCCTTAACTTTAAGAAGGTGTCATATCCTCATTCTTCAGTATGGCCCCAGGGAGCAGTACCTCTTGAATGTGTGGTCTATGGGCAATAATCCAAAATTCACTTTACCTTTAAATCAGTGGCCACAAAGTATAAAAAAGATCTAAAAGGGAAATAACTTTAGGCTTCGTCTGCTTCAAATTTTTTTAATATCTCATTTAAAAAGAGGATACCTTGGTGGGTTTTTTGTTGTCATTTTTCTAGGCTAGCCTTTACTGTGCTCAAAGTGCTGCACATTAGTGGGAAATTTGTTTTAAGTATAAATTATTTAACTGTTTTCAAAATAAAAGGTAGCACTGCTGGGAGGAACTTGCAGCGCAAATGCAGGTACAGGAAGACCCAGAGAAATATCTCTTAACAGTAACTTATTGTAATAGTTAGAAGCTTGAATGTGTAAAAGCTTTATGTTGACCCCTTAAAGTGTGGGATACAGTACAAATAGCACCAATAAGGAACTTTAAACCTTTGGGGGTATAGTTTAAACTTCGTTCCAAATGCATGAATTTGTATTAAAACTAAATGTCAGAAAATAAGTTTGAAATAAAACCTGATATTCAGTAACTTTTTTTTTTTTTTTTGACAGTGTCTGCTATATAGAACAGACCAGGCTCAAGATGTAAAGAAGATAGAGAAATTCCACAGTCAGCTGATGCGACTTATGGTAGCTAAGGAATCCCGCAGTGCTGCTATGGAAACAGACTGAATTGCTTTGAATGCTCTGGTCATATTTTGCAGGAAGAAAATATCACTTGGATTTGAGCACACATTGGGACAGGAGGTGCTTTGTGATGAAGTGGACTGCTGAAAAGTAAAGCATTCCCCCCCCCCCCCCCCCCCCCCCCCCC